GGAGGAGGAGGCGGGGGAGCAGGAGGAGGAGGGGGCGGCGGCGGCGGCGCGGGAGGAGGGGGAGGAGGAGGCGGGGGAGCAGGAGGAGGAGGGGGCGGCGGCGGCGGCGCGGGAGGAGGAGGAGGAGGCGGGGGAGGCGGCAACCCGGCCAAGAAGAAGAGGAAAAGGTGTGGGGTCTGCGTTCCCTGCAAGAGGCTCATCAACTGTGGAGTCTGCAGCAGTTGCAGGAACCGCAAAACGGGACACCAGATCTGCAAATTTAGGAAATGTGAAGAGCTAAAGAAAAAACCTGGCACTTCGCTAGAGGTCAGAGGAGATGATTTCTTTCTTCCCAGCCTCCCGCCGTCCCTCGTGAACCCCCTTCCCCCACCTCTCCAGTGCTTCTTGTCTAGTTTCAAGATGCAGCATCCCTTTTCCGAAGCCTCCTTCAGGTTGTGAGGGGGGAGCCCCCTCCTTCCCCTCCCCACTTTTTGCCTCTCCGTAGTACTGTGCACAAAACATAGCCACACGTCCGCAGCCTCGGGGGGTCTGGACTGCCCCGGAGCCGCTTTGGAGGAGGGGGAGCGGGGAGGTCGGCCCTCGAATAAAAACCCGGCCGGGCGTTGGGCGTTCTGTTGCTCGGTGGGGTCTTTTCGATAGGGAAGAAAGCGTGGAAAGTTTGCGTTCGTGGGATTTGGAAAGGAAAAGGCCCACGAAATCACTCAACGCCCGAGGGGATTTTTTTTCACCTTTTAAAATAATTACACGAAGATTTCTGCTGCTGCTTTTTTTTTTTTTTTTAAATATACCCAAGTTGAGTTTATTACACATAAAATGATCGGAACCAATTCTCTATATTTTTATCTGTTATTGCAAGGTGTGTTGTTTGGTGATATGTAAACTACTTTTTACTTAATGTGAAACTAATGGTGAAGGGCATTTTTTTTTAAACAAAAAATCCAAACTCTTTAATACCCATGAAACTTATAATTTCTAAAATAATTTTGGCCGTTTTAAGGGATTCTTTCCTTCCTTACCTGCTGCCTAGATTTTGCTTTGTTTGAAAATTAAGTCAGGGAACTTAACTTTCTAAAGTTGATCCCAGATCTTACAATTGTCCTACCTTCAGCTAAAATGAACATCTAGGTAATTTGGGGGTTATTTTGATAATTTATTGCAAGACAACAATTGGTGGTGAAGAAGTTAGTGAAGCATACCAAAAGTAATACTTTGGATTTATAATACATCCTTACCAAAAATAGCCCTTTGTAGTATATTTTACAATTGGATAAAGAATATCTATGATTATGTGTGATTGAAATGTATATGCATTTATTTTTTAAAAACTCAGAATTGACAATGTATTATCACAGAACTGAAAAGAGAGGTCCTCAAGTTTAGTAGACTTTTAAAAAACAAAGTAAAAGGGATATTGTGGTTTTCAGTTCATGTATTTAGTTTAGTGGACAGAGAAAAGAAAAAAAATGTAAAATGACTAATAGCATTATTTTTAGATGGAAGAAAAAAGAGGAAAGACTTGTAATCATTTAAAGCCCTGTCATTATTAAAACTATAGTATTGCCAGGTAGATGAACCTATCAGATGAGTGCGTTTGGTTGGAGAGAGCATGTTCTTTATGGGACTTTTAAGATGTAAAGTGACTGAAATTAGCAACTCAGAATTGCAACTGCGATTAACAGGAGTTAACTTATAAGTTGATATTTTTATTAGTATTAATGTTACCACTAAGTTTAACATTTCACTTAAAAAAATAGGGGGAAAAAGGAAAACAGCACTTGGGTGATACTAATTTCTTCTGCCCTTGCAAGATTGAACTATCCTTTTGGAAAGTTTAATAACTTGTTCTTTCTATATTTCCCATAGCTGTTTATTGTGCATATATGATAATCCAATATCACTTTGATGCAACAGCCTCTTTGGACTACATTTCAGCTGGTAAAAATCAGTTGTATATAAATGTACCTGTTATTTTTGGTTGCAAACACACTCCTGTTTATTTCATAGAACATTTCAGAGAATGTATATTGTGATTTTTACAATAAACAGTAAATGCTGAATTTGAACACTAAACCATAACTAAAAATGATACCTTTTTTCTGTTCCTGGGTGCATTAAGTGTACTCTCCTGTACAGTTTTCCAATACTCCTCCTTAAACACCATGATCTTAATTTTGCTAACTAGTTATGAGCAAGGTAAGACTGCAGTTTCTCAGCATATTTATTAGGAATATGTCCCCTAAAAATACTGAGATATACTTGAAAATTAATTGGTAGGGTAAGGCTGAATGCCCTGTTCAGTCTGACAAAGCAGGATCTCGTGTTGCTTTAAATGGACATGCCACCTAATCCTATGCATATTTGCACAGAAGTAAATTACACTAGGACTGTTTTCATGACTGCACTGCCAACTAGCCAAGCATATTTTAGGTTAGCTGCTTGTGTGAAGCCAGGCTATGCGGTTAGTTTATAGTTCAATTTATTATGTAAATCCAGACAATGAGATTAAGTCATTAAGCCGCAACTCAGTTTACTGTGGGTTACTGTCTTATGCAGAGGTGCCTACTTTCTAGTGAGTTGGTGTCAGATTGCAACCTTAGCAGTTAACTGGATAATTTCTTAGCAAATGGCGTGTTTCTAAGCTTGTATTTGCTGAGAATCTGAAAATGCAGGAGAGAAAAAAATATTTAATATACCAAAGAAAACTTCCTGTATCAACATCTTGCAAATGCCGTGCTCCTCTCCATTTAAGGGAAAACTAGCATTAGCAGGCAAAATAAGAAGAAAAAGTTAATTCCCATAGTTCTCTGCATGTGCTCCTTTGATTTCTGTGCAAGGTATCACAAAGGAAACACGTGGCTGAGATGCCATGTTACCCTTATAAACATCTCTTTCCATCCTTCACTGCTGCCCATAGATTAATGGAATAGATAAGCTTTTGTCTGACCCAGAAGGGCTCATACGTCCTTAAGAACTTTGTCTGGATTGAGGTCAAAGCTCATTTTCATCAGCGTGGCAGTCTTCTGCAAAGCATCCTGAAGTTTACAGCCCCATCTTAAGCAAATACTTTTAAAATCCTGCTGACTTCAACTTTGTTGCTAGAAAAGAAAGTTAGAATCATAGCTGCAATGTGCGATAATTAAACAGTTTTTGAGAATGAACATATAGGTGCTGCCCTGTCGATGCAATAAGGTGGAGGAGTGGGAAAGAAATGGACTGGAAGAGGAAATATGATTAATGAATGAACAGTTGGTAGGTGTTCCTTAACCACCACTTTCCCTGACAAAGAAGTCTAGTATCTTTAAAAATTGCCTGGGCATGCCATATGAGATAATTGCATACTAACTTTGCATCACAGTTGTGGCTAGCAAAATGCATAGCACTACATTTGGAAGCATCCTCACTTTTTAATTACTTGTTTCTTCACTGTATACAGGCAGATGTGCTGGTATACAGATAGGTTATTCACATGACACGTAGCACCACAAAATAGCAAATCCCATTTTAGCATACAGTAGTGTGCTGTGCAGAGACAGGCTGTAAAGCTAGCTCAGTATGTTGTGTGAACCTTGAAAACTGGATCTATTAAGTCAACCATGGTTTATTTAACCGTGGGGAACCATGTTGCATAAACACAACCTTGAGCTGCAATTTCCCACTGTTAAAAAGAAGCATATCTCTCTAGGTTGCAGCCCATCTCAGTCTAAATAATGGTGGGGCTAATATCCTTCCCAACACATCACTTTCAAGTTAGAAGTTCAAATTTAGCCATTGTCTGTTGAAACTAGAATTTTCCATTTAATGCTTCATTTTTTCTCCCACTACCCTTTTAGTTGAACAGTAAAGATGAGAGCACAATTGCCCAAAGCACACATAGAGCTACACCTCCAGTTTTGAGGCAATCAGTTGGAAGTGCGTCAAAAATTGACAGGGCACGTGTGACTGAACTGATGCTTCCCATGTTGTTGCAGGCAGGAGAAGAAAGTTTTCCCCATTGGATGGCTGCTCAGAATGGGACTGTCTTGGTGTCTCTGTCCATAGGTAGCCTGTTGGCAAGTCATCACAGTCTAGAGGGGCTCCTGAATCGAACAAATTCAGAACCAGAACCAGCTCTCTTTCTATTCACAAATATGAACATTTTCCTAACATGTAAAAGCAGTTCTTACTAGTCACGAGCAAACAGAAATGTTGCTGCCTAAAAATCAGCTATTTCATGCCTGAACTACTTTTGAATGGAATGTTGTCTGCATCCTAGCTTTTTTTTTTTTTAAAAAAAGAGAATGTTCCATTTTTCTTATGTGAATCTCACCCAAAGATCACTTTGATGACTGAGTTTTTTCCTAAAAAAAGGTATCCTATAACAATATAAGAAGTCTGTGCATGCAAGCAGTAGTAGTAAATATACAAACTAAGACTGATGTCATACAGAGTTCTATGTATTCACACCCATCCACAGCATTCATTTAGATTTATGGTATGTTTAAAAAGGCATAATCATTATTTATCCAGGGAGAGTACTTATTTGCCTCCCATTAGTGTACATTAATATAATTCCTTCTGTAAATTATAGACTGAGGGGCATGGCTCACTATTGCCTCTTTCATGCAGTGAAAAACCAAAGGGAATTTTGTATGACGTGAACTTAAGGGACACGACATCAATCTTCATGCTTTTTGCTTCCCAAACCAGAACAGAGTCAAGCAATCTAGGCTCGGTTTTTAATATTTCAAAACTGATCTCTGGAACTAAATCCTTAATACGGTCTTCATATTGAGCCTCTATATTAAAGATAGTTTAACTGCCCTACCCTTCAGTTTCCCTTTCATTGGACCTCATTACTGTTATTAATGCCTTAACCGTGACCAAATAGTTATATAAAACTATGTATTATTTGTTCTAATCATACTGAGAAATAGTTTCATGTTATGCTTCAGATATCTTCCAGTGAATTCACTGGTACTTTCAAGTCTGAGTAGAAACTTGGGGGGGGGGTTGCAATAGTGTTAAAGTTGTCAGGCTTAAAACTTTCAACTTGCTTGAACTAAAATTCAGTTTACTAAGAGAAATGGAAGCAGCAGCAGCAGCAGGCCCTGATCCTTAAAATATAGCATCAGAAGAGGTAATGTGGTTTGCAGTGAACTGTTTGATCTTTATTTTCCTGGGAAAAGGAATGTTGGTAATGGAAGGCTGCTGAGTTGTGTGGATAGTGATCAGTTATGAACAGCCATTTTCCTCTCTCGGTTTTCTGTAGTTGTGAATTATATTCTTCCATGATACTCAGCTATATAGGGAGAATGTTTTATAAATAATAAAATTGAACAGGCAGTTAATATGATTAAAATAACTACAGGAAAGTCAGCAGAACAAAACGGTCTGCTCTCTGGCTTCTACACTGTTGCATTCTGAGAAAAATAACCAACGATCATACCCAAATTTGTTAGGGTTTTTTTTTCTTGTATTGCACTACAGGTAGTTCCCGGGTTGAGAACGCCCGAGTTACAGACAACCCATAGTTAAGAACGGAGCCTGTTGTAGCAAAATTTGAGTTACATATGCAACGGTTCGAGTTCACTATACAATACTACTTATACAGTATTATACAATAATACCATTCCGGCTTACATACAAATTCGACTTAAGGACAGACCTTGGAAATGAAACTCGTTCTCAAACTCTGGATTATCTGTACATACAATCATGTAATTGTTAAGTTATTAACCTATACCCATAACCTTATTATTAGAATAAGGTTTCTTTATTCTTTATTTCTTTAAAAAAATGGAATATGATTCTAATCATAAGGTTATGGGTATAGTTTAACCCATTTAATGAAGGCTCATTAGGGGAAAGTGTACTATTATTTCTGGGTTCTGATTTGTTCAGAAGGAGTTCAAGGTTTCATTACTAGAGATTAATGACTGTCATAAACTTAGTTTTTATTGTTACTGTTGTTATTTATCAGTCACAAAGCAAAACTGTTTTCTCTTGTGCATTTGTAGCTGCAAATTTTATTATGAGTTAGAGATGGTTTTTTAACAATACGTGTTCATTTTTTCACCAATATGCATTCTATATATACATATATATGTGACTGCTTAAGAAGTAGATGGTATCATTTCAGATCTTACCAGAGCTATGCACATCTTCTACTTCAGTATATATTCTACCCAAAAAATGAAGCAATTGATTCACCCTAAACTTTGACTTCATTGGCAGATTCATCCTAATCATTATTCAAATGTTTCTCATGGAAGCATGAGATTTTCATTTATGAGTTTGAATGTTCTGGAGTGTGGGGAGAATTGAAGGTTGCTGAGTGAGTCACTAGGCAGCTGGTAATGTCAGACCAAATGGATTAAGTGACAGGAACAGATCTATAGGCTTTCTGCTGATCAGCTGTTGCAATGGCCCCTTGAACTTCAACATATTTAGAGAACTTGATATCCATTTAAAGAGAGTTGAAATTTGATCTCCAGACAATTTTTAATCTAAACAATGCAGTGTTTATTGTTTATTTATTTACATGAATTATTGTAGGCCTCTATGAAAGTCATGCAATACAGGTAAAATACACTAAAATAGTTTAAAATAAGTAATGTAGTTTCAAAACCATTCTATAATCAGCCTTTTCTAACACATCTACAGAGCATCAAGTTCAGGAAAGCTGATAAAAGAGTGAAATAGTTAAAACCATGCCTCAACTCTCCCTAGCTAAATCCCTTAAAGCCATTTCGGTAAATGCCATAGTTTGAAACTGGTACAATTAGAGAAAGAAAAGGCTACCCAAAATGCTTGCAGCTAAGAGCCACATATTCAAGTTTCTTAAAAAGGATTTTTCAAAATGGGAGTTATGGCCCTCACATCAGATTTCTGCAACTCAGAAATAGGGCAGTCCATTAAATAACCTGGCCCCCAAATTTGTTAAGTTAGCACTGGCACAATTGGGCATAGAAATGCAATAGTAACTGATGCAGTGGTAAATAATGTCAGGTGACCTGACTGCCCCAAACAACACCTGAGAAGCTGCATTTGGTGCCAGCTGAAGTTCCCAAATCATCTTC